CAATCCTCAGAAGGGAACATGTAGGATGACAGGAAAAGGCTCCTGACTGGTGAGATCCTCCAAACATAATGATGACATCCATGAACTGGAGCGAGCTCGTTGGGGTGATAAAGCCAATCTGGAAACACTGTGTAGACGTTCTCCAAGAACTCAGCACACTCCAGGTGTGGAGAAAGTCTCCAGGTGGGTTTAGCCTGTCATTTATCATAGGTAGTAGAAATGTCCGCACATGGACTTCCATAGGGACCCCCAGACTACATATAGAACCTGTCAGTGTCCCCAGGTCTCCAGGTGGGTTTAGCCTGTCATTTATCATAGGTAGAAATGTCCGCACATGGACTTCCACAGGGACCCCCGAGACTACATATAGAACTTGGAGGTACCTGTAACATGGAACAGGATTTGGTGTTGCTGGAAGACTGGTCAGAGCAGTGGAAATTGCAGTTCAATGTTTCTGAATCGTGGGCTGGGGATGGGTAGCGGGTACAAAGCTCCCTGGGATGGGCCACTTTCAGGGACAGATACCAGTCCAGTGATGTAGTGTCACACAGTGCAGTGTTTATTGGTGCTGATTACAGGTGCTGTACAATGTTCCACAAAGTAACGGCAGAAAACCTCAAAACCAAAATCCTAGCCGTGTCCCGGCACTAACTACACAAACACGATTCCTGACTATCAGGGTACTGGGGCAGTGGCCATTTTTTGTTCTGTTGAATTGTTGGGGAGGAGACACACTGGACACCTTGGCTGCCATTGGGCTATACGCTGGGTGTCCGGTGCACTCCTGTACCTTTAACCACCTCCTGTCCGGCCGTTGTATATAAACGGCCGGACGGTGGCAGTGCAGGGGTGGGTGGCCATTTATAAATGGCCTCCCCGCCCCCTGCTTGTGTGCGCTCCCTGGGAGCATGCAGCACCACAATCCGGTGCCCGCTGTGTCCTCCAGACACAGTGGAACACCGTTCATCGTACGGGACCTATGTGCGAGGTCACGATCATGTGATCACTGATTGACCAATCAGCGATCACATGTCACTTCTGACATCATTGCTTACTACGTGTGAAATCTGTAAATGATCACAGAGGTCACATGGTACAGGGCTATTCACAACAGCCTTGTACCATGTGACAAGCTGTGACCAATCACAGCTCACACAGTATTTCTCAATGGCTGCAAGAATGCAGCCAGAGAGAAGGAGAAATTATTCCTCTTTATGGGTGTAAAAGCAATCGGTGTAAAAAATAATTTAAAAAATCTTCATCACCCCCCACAGGTAGTACAGTGTCACCATGGTGACAGTATGTTAAAAAAAAAAATAATAATAATATAAAAAAAAAAAAATAAAAATGTTAAAATATTTTTTAAAAATTATAATTTTTGGTTATAAACTAATTTGGGTTATTTTTTGTTTTACTAAAAAGATAACGGAATACATTTTGGCCAAGATGTATGATGAAATATTTATTTGCAAAATTTTGTAAGAAAAAAACTTTTTTTTTTTTTTCAAAATTTTTGGACTTTTGCATTTATAAAGCAAAAAAATAAAAATACCACCAAAATAAAGTTTTATCTGTCTCAAAAAATGCTAAAAAAATCATATGGGTACAGTGTTGCATGACTGCGCAATGGTCATTCAAAGTGTGACAGCGCTGAAAGCTGAAAATTGGCCTGGGCAGGAAGGGGGGGGAAAGTGTCTGAACTTGGAAGTGGTTAAAGAGGGGTGGGTTCCCACAGGTCCACCTGCCCTTGGTCTAGCCATTAAATACATGTGCCTCTACTATGGGGGTTCAATTAATTTGTAGAGTTAGGACTACAGAATATCGGGGGGGCCGTGACGAGGCTCTGTAGCTTACAATGTGATTGCAAATGTGTGCTAACTAAACCCGTTTTTAACGCATACTGTTAGACGGGGTAATTTGGGTTTGTTTGCAGGATGGCTGGTAAGTTGAGCCGGGAACTTTTCTCTTTTGTTGTGTGACATGCGTTGCCCGTTCAAGTGCTCCTTGCTGTGAAGGCCAGTTATAGACTGGGGCAGCGGCCATTTCTTGTACTATCAGGGTGAGCAAGCCTAGTGCTTGTCAGTCTCCAAAGATGCAGCTTTACCCCAAGAACCCTTTGGAGGACCCCTGGCTGAGAAAGGCTGGACTAGGCAGTCATATATTTCTGTCCCCCTTGGTGGGAGTGGAGGTGACCCCTCTATAGTGTAGCGATCCCCCCAAAGGGGGTAAGTTTGTTCACTCCACCACCACTCTGCCTCCCAACCCCAAGAACTGTCTCAGCCCCAACTGACACCCCTGACAATAGTGAAGTACAAGGACCAATGAAAAGCACACACGGTATAATAAACACAGAGATCAGCTTTACTGTAAGACCTCTATGGGAAGTAATAAACATGAACAACAGGTATACGTTCGGTGAATCCAGAGAACAGCAAATCCTGAGACCGGAAGCAATATAACTCACTTTTACACTCAGGCTGCTTTCAGGGGATTCCAACCGTGAATAACCCCAAGAGCAGAGGAAACACTTACATGGCGCCCTCAAAGTGGGTCTAAACCCCTTTACATAAACTCAGCTCTATGATGTCCAAGCAGGAGGAGAGCAGAAGGATGACTCTCTGTGGTGTCAGACTTCTCCCTTCTAACCCCCGACACCACAAGCCCAATAGGCAAACACTGCGCCCAACTGATGCTTCATAGCTACTTTCCAAGGTAGAGCTATTCCCTCCCACACCATGCAATATAGAGGCCTGAATACGCATGCGCGTGCCCGTATGGCACCAGTAACTTCAGTCTCTTGGTAACAGGATGAATGTTGGGGTCTTCAGCGAGACACTTTCATTGGTGCACTTACACTCCTATGGTAAAGTATCATTGTAATCCCGTGGCAGGATTTGTATAGCAAAGCAAACACTGTGTCTGTATAGCAGGACCATCTACACAACCCAGTGCCTGGTGAGTATGGGAGAAGTGTCATGTCTCTGTGTGCCGTGTTCCTGTCATCTGCCAGGGGGCAAAATCCCTCTCACCAGATCCTGGGACTAAGGCCCAAACCATGGTCCTGGAAATGACCGGCTCCTGTGGTCACCTCACGATGAGCCCTTCACACTGTCGGTGTAGGCACTGTACTGTAGGCCACATCTCTCAGGTTGGATGTTCCCTGACTGATGCAGATACCTAAACATGGAGTGAACTGACCCTGAGCACTTCTCTGCCAGGTCCAGACTGTCTCCTGCCACATGCAGACTGCCTCCCCTCAGGAAAAACAAGATGGAGTCCTTCACTCTGCTCTCACTAAGCATGCTGGTCTCTGTAGTTCCATCCCTCATATCAGCCTATCAGGCCATTTCTGTTCAGGACTGCATATTCCACAATGCTTTGCAGCTGCACCTCCTGCTTGAGAAAGTCCCTGTCATTGGCTCCTTTAATACCTCTTCTGATTGGCTCTCTCTGTATTACAGTCTGAGAGGAGAAGGGAGGGGCTGAAATCCCTGACTGCCTTGTGTGTATCCAGTGCCAGTGTCAGATTTCACAGGAGATGCCAGTCAGCAGGTTACAGCAGTCACAGATAGGAGTCATTTCCTCCCCTACACAAGGATCTACAGTCCATACACACCCAGCACAAGGCCGGGGTCACACTACCAGACGCTTCTCGGGGCTGCAGTTCCTCTGAGCTCCACAAGGTGGGGATCTCACTTCTACCCAGACAGGAAGTCTCTATGGAAGACAGAAGTGATGTCAGGTACAGAGGAAGTGATGTCAGGTACAGACAGGAAGTGATGTCAGGTACAGACAGGAAGTTCCGGGTGAGAGCTGAGTTGGAGAGGAAGCAGAGAGAGACGTTGCTGGAAGTGGCAGCAGAGGAGGTAATAAGATGTTATTTCCTATTTACACCCAGTAACCCCCCATCATGTCCATCCTCTTCCTCCATAGTCATGTCCGTCCTCTTCCTCCATAGTCATGTCCGTCCTCTTCCTCCATAGTCACTGTGACGTTCTTTTATCTCCAGCAGATGATGATACACACATATATAGTGTGGGAACCCAGATTAACCCCTTCAGGGGCAGAACATTCCCCCACTTCCGGGGCCGGAACATTCTCCTCATTGTGGAGAGGTGTCACCTTCTCACCTCATCATCAGTCTATACTAATGGATTATACCACTTTTATAAGTGGCGGGGGGGAATGGAGAAATCTATGACATCATACTGACCTTGCAGCTCCTCCCAAATGTCCTCCATCCAGAGTCAGAGAATCCTATGACATCACACCAATGATCCAGAGTCAGAGAATCCTATGACATCACACTGACCTCACAGCTCCTCCCCCAATGTCCCTCCATCCAGAGTCAGAGAATCCTATGACATCACACACTGACCCATCCAGGACAGAGAATCCTATGACATCACCTCCTCCCAATGTCCCTCCATCTGGCTTTTTTATTCTGATGCTCTTAGGATGTGGGGGGGGTCCCTTGGTATCCTCACATGTAAAGTGGGACTGTTGGTCCTGCGTTGTATGTAATGACATCAGAATGCTGCAACAAGCCTATACCCTGCGTAGTGTGGGGGTCCTGTGGGGGGGAATTATACCTCAGCCTGAAGTGGGGCTTTAATAAAATGGAGACCTGAATGGAGAGGTGAGGAGGATTCTGGGAATATCATTTGATGTGACTATTTGTGTTCAGATGTAGAGTTTTCCTCCTGTGAAGTCTGGAGATCATATGACATCACATTGCCTCCACCTCCCTCCCTGATAGAAGAGAGAAAGAAGAAGAAGATTCTAGAAGTCACCAGAGAGATCACTGAGCTGCTGACAGGAGAGGTGAGCGGTGCCGGGAATTCTGGGACATTCTCCAGTAACAGACAAGGGATGTGTCTGGATGGTGACTGTATCATTGTGTGTGTCAGGTTCCTATAAGGTGTCAGGGTGTCACTGTCTATTTCTCCATGGAGGAGTGGGAGTATTTAGAAGGACACAAGGATCTCTACAAGGACGTCATGATGGACAATCAGCCGCCCCTCACATCACCGGGTAAGAGGAGACTTTATTGTAAAGGAGAGAGCAGTACGGAGGATCCACCTAGATCCCCCATCATCTGATAAACACATAGAAACAATGGATTCAGTCAGTGTGTGTGTTTTCCTACAGATGGATCCAGTCATGGGAACCCACCAGAGAGATGTCCCCGTCCTCTGTATTCCCGGGATTCCACACAGGAAGGTCACACCATCCCTCACCATCATCAGGTAGATGATGACAATTATTGGTAGTTGTGATTTATACACAGCATGTTTTGTTACAATGAATGTTTTATTATATCTTTCAGAGTGGAATCCTCGGGGATGATAATATTGATGTTAAAGAAGAGTATAAAGAGGAGGATGAGGAGTATGGAGTGATGGAGGAGTTTTTCAGAAGGACACAAGGATATGATGGAGCCACCTAATACCAGGAACCCACCAGAGAGATGTCCCCGTCCTCTGTATTCCCGGGATTCCACACAGGAAGGTCACACCATCCCTCACTATTACAAGGTTGGTGGGGATGGAGCATCTAGAACATGGACTCATGAAGACAATGTGTGGATTTTGTGTGTGTGTGATGTGACACAATCATAAATCTTACATTTTACAGATGATATTTTCTCTCATTTCCTTGATTTAGAGTGGAGATCCAATCGATATAGAATTTGAGGTGAAAGCAGAAGAAGAAGAGGCGTATGTGAGGGATGATCAGCAGTCTATGGAGGAGGATGGAATAACGGGGACATTTATAGAGGAGGACACTCCTACAGAGATCAGCACAGGTGGGTCATGAACACTAAATCCATTCCTCCACCCATACTGCTCACTGATTGGTCCAGAGTAGGGGCGGGGACTGGGTGATATCAGCCTGTAATCCCCTGGTCACTTCCTGAGCTGTGTTCCCCGTCCTGTATTCCTGGATTTCTCTCGGATAATCTTCCTTCTCTGTGCTGCAGACACAATTTATGTATCTAGACTGGATTTATGGAGGTTCTGGGGGGTTCAGCTGGCAGCAAAATGTTCATTTTCACAAGTGTTACTAGATACCTAAGGCACCTTGGACAAGTGATTTTTTTCTTCTTCCCCATGCCCGGGTATAGTAAGATGTCTGACAGAACAATTCTCCCAGGGTTCCTTGCTCTGTGGTATCTGCTGGCTGTGCCGGGTGGAGGGATATGTCTGTAGTGTCTCAGACCCAAGTCACTGAGTGCAGTCTCAGGAGATGGGAGGCAGCGGTGTGGGATCTCTGCAACTGCAACTTGTCTCATGTAGACATTTAATCTTCCACTGATTACTGAATACCAATATTATGAGTCCTGACCCTTACACTGTATAATTTATATTGTGCACTATATACATTACATACTCCTGACCCCCTGCACTATTACTCTTACTCCTGACCCCTGCACTATATACTCTATGTTGTACATTACATCCTTCTGATGCACTGTATAGTCCTAACATTTGTATCCTATATATAATAGGTTGTACATTACATAGGCGTTACTACTTCTTTACACCCATTTCCTCCCAGCTGGACATTTTATATCGGATGATGTGATTGGAGCACAGACTTTTACATGGTGATAATAATGTGATAACATCCTCCAACTTTGGACCCTTAAACAGAAAGTGATAATGAGGGAGGAGTCAATACCCCAATGATGGTGGTCTTCAGGATCAGTCCAGTCTTCATCTTGGTTGTTCTCCCCCCCCATCCTCACTCTCTGACCTCTGGTGGGGCTCAGCCCCGCTGTTCTTCATGACTAAATCATGGACTAAATAAGGAAGTGCAGTACTTCTTGTGTTGGGAAGATGGCGATGAGTGATAGAGGGGGTGGGGACCCTCGTCCTATAATCCCCTCATCACTGTCCCTCCTATAAAAGACAGTTCTGGTTGTTTCCTCACTCTCTGACTAAGGTCCATGAATAAAGAAATGACCTGGTAGGAGATCAGAGGAGCCATTTCCTAGTTCCCTTGAGGGTGGAATTGTAAGCTCCTCAGAGACCAAGCTGCCTGATGTGGGCGGAGTCCTGGTTTGGGGGAACCATCAGCTCCTGTCTAGTAATCCTCTTTGTCTTTGTATTTTAGTCCATGGCCGGGAGATGAGGAAAACCTCTCGAGGATTGTCTCACTTTGTCTCCAGACTGGAAAGTAGAAGATGAGGACATCACACAGTAGTCCAGGAGAAAACCCGGCTCCCCTCTCAATGTCCATCCGGCACCACCCAGTGTAGATGGACCATCGGATTCCTCGTATCCCTGAGGAACCTCAGACTGTGCGGGACCGGGCCGGCCCTTCCAACAGGGAAGAGGTTCTCCTGTACTGAGTGGCGGGAAAGGTTTCCATTATAAATCCCAACTTAATAGGGCATAAAAGATGTCTACACGGGGGAGAAGCCGTATTCCTGTCCTGAGTGTGGGAAATGTTTTTCACATAAGTGCCAATCTTGACACACATCAGAGATCTCACACGGGGGAGAAAGCCGTATTCCTGTCCTGAGTGTGGGAAAATGTTTTTCACAGTGAAGTGCAGTCTTTACAACCATCAGAGATCTCACACGGGGGAGAAACCATATTCCTGTCCTGAGTGCGGGAAAATGTTTTTCACATAAGTCACATCTTGACACACATCAGAGAACTCACACGGGGGATAAGCCATATTCCTGTCCCTGAGTGCGGGAAATGTTTTTCACAGAAGTCCAGTCTTTACAAACATCAGAGATCTCACACAGGAGAGAAGCCATATTCCTGTCCTGAGTGTGGGAAATGTTTTTCACATAAGTCACATCTTTACACACATCAGAGATCGCACACAGGGGAGAAACCGTATTCCTGTCTGAGTGTGCGGAAATGTTTTTTCACACAGAAGTCCAGTCTTTACAAACATCAGAAATCTCACACAGGGGGAAAAGCCGTATTCCTGTCCTGAGTGCGGGAAAAACGTTTTGCAGAGAAAGTCCAATCTTTTACAAACATCAGATATCTCACACACACGGGGAAAAGCCATATTCCTGTCCTGAGTGCGGGAAACATTTTGCACAGAAGTCCAACTTTACACACATCAGAGAATGCACACGGGGGAGAAGCCGTATTCCTGTCCTGAGTGTGGGAAAATGTTTTTCATGGAAGTTCCATCTTTCCAGGCATCAGAGATCTCACACGGGGGAGAAGCCGTATTCCTGTCCTGAGTGCGGGAAACGTTTTTTTCACAGAAGTACCAACTTTATCCACACATCAGAGATCTGCACACAGGGGAGAAGCCATATTCCTGTCCTGAGTGTGGGAAATGTTTTTCTGTGAAGTCCATCTTTCCAAGCATCAAAGATCTCACACAGGGGGAGAAACCTAGAAGCCGTATTCCTGTCCTGAGTGTCCTGTTTCCTTCCTGAGTGGGAAATGTTTTTCAGTGAAGTCCATCTTTACATCATCAGAGATCTCACACAGGGGGAATATTCCTGTTTGAGTGCGGGAAATGTTTTTCACAGAAAGTCCATCTTTCCACAAATCTCACACACAGGGGAAAGCCATATTCCTGTCCTGAGTGTGGGAAATGTTTTTCACAGAAGTCCATCTTTACAACATCAGAGATCTCACACACACGGGGAGAAGCCATATTCCTGTCCTGAGTGCGGGAAATGTTTTTTTAGACAAGTCCAATCTTTACAACACATCAGAGATCTCACACGGGGGAGAAGCCGTATTTCCTGTCCTGAGTGCGGGAAATGTTTTTCACAGAAGTCCTATCTTTCCATACATCAGAGATCTCACACAGGGGAGAAGCCGTATTCCTGTCCTGAGTGCGGGAAATGTTTTCACAGAACTCCTAGCTTTACAAACATCAGAGATTCTCACACAGGGAGAAGCCATTTTCTACTTCTCCTGAGTGAGGGAAATGTTCCTCACTGAAGTCCTGTCTTCCTGTACATCAGGGGTCCCACACAACCCTGGAGGTGTATTAGTGCCTTGAGTGCGGGAAATGTCTTCTAGATGAATGTTGCTGGACATCCCAGCTCTCATGTGGGGAAGAAGCACACCCTGATATACACCTCAGATATACTCCATGGCTGATCTTCATCATGGAAGAAACAGTTCCTAAGGAGATCAGAGGCCCCCAAAAACATGGATGAAGTGTGGGACCGGGTCGGCCATTGATACAGCAGGAGAAAAAGAAAAATGGAGTCCTGTCCCTGTGATTGGCTGAGTACAGTTTGTGGTGGTGGAGATTTCACAAAAACACTTGGAAGTTGTGTTATGATTACTTTGTGGACAAATGTCCAAGCACTCATTAGGCCCACAGTTGGAGGTGAGGACAATACTTGCATGGTGGGGGATCACTGAAGAGGTGGGTGGTAATAAAATGTCCCAATTCTAGAAGAGTGACTGATGGTGTACACATGGAAGCAATGGAATTGTGTGTATACCGGGAATGAAGGAGTGATTGGTGAATGCACATATTGGGACTTTCCCGTGTCTTTCTCCATACATGTTTTCTTCTTGTATGTTTCCCGTGATACAAATGTCTGTGTATATGATCGGCACATGATGGTCTGTCTATGACAAACGTTTCATTGATCTGATCATTTCCATGGTGATTGTGGACACATTGGCCCTGATTTACTAAGACGTGAGTCTACCAGCAGAATATTCCAAAAGGTGATAATCAACTCTGAAACCTAGAATAATAAACCACCCCACCAATATATAATCCGAAATAATCAAATATAACAATCAAAATAATAACAATAGAATAAAATAAAAATAAAATAAGAATAAATAAAATAAGTGTCCAAATCTCCAAAAAAATATAATATAATATAAAATAAAATAAATGTCCAAAATTCCAAAAAAAATTCAAAAAAAGTTCTTTTTGTGTTCAGTGAAGCAAAACGATTCCCAAAAATACCTTGATATCCTCAAATAAAAAGAAAAATATCATAGTGTAATATCCTCAAACAAAAATATATATGCTTCACACTGTGCAAACTCAAATCACATCAAAAAAACAGTGAAAAATCAAAAAATTAAATAAACGTGAGAAATCGTGATCACTCCAATCTCAAGTGAATAGTGATACTAGGTACCAATATCCTTGATACTCCAGCCAAAGTAGATGCTAAATACTATTACCCTCTCTTATGATATATTCAGGCATATACTGTTAGACAGGAAAGGTAGTTCTCCATCATTCTTATCCCGGGGTATTCCTCATATGGACAAAGAAAGGCTCTCTCAGGCAGATTCCATAAAAAGGTATAAATTTTAATCCACACTTACATGTTTTGGTTCACGTTATCCAGCTCTCTGCACTGACATTTCAATCTCTGGTTGAAAAACGATTGTTTCCAACCGACAAAATGGCCGCGGCGACACTTCCGGTTAGCGTGCGTGCGTGGTGATGACGTCACTCCCCTAACGCGTTTCGTCACTTCCGGACTTCATCTGAAGGGATTTATTAAATGTGGAATCGCGTTCTGGCATTTTTTAGGTGCAATTCCGGATATGTTCGCTAGATGGCGCACAAGTTAAATCAATGAGGACCTGTCAGTCCTCTGAGCGACGTCTAGCAATCTCATTGACCAACGTCTACTTTGCTGTTAGTAAAATGTGGAATCGCGTCTGGCACATTTTCAGCTGCAATACCGGATATGTTCGCTAGATGGCGCACAAGCGCGGACTTTGTACCATTGGCGGTTTCCTGTTGGCATAAGAGAATACTTAGAATGTAACATAATTAGTACACCGAGATTAGAATTGTTTTGTTTTTTTTGCTGTTTCTCCAAAATGATGAGACAGCTGATGCATTTACTAATGAATGTCATACATTCTATTTTCAGATGTTAAACATTTTCACACTTATATCTCCAATAATTGGGAATGTCTAGTTCTAAGCTCCCAATATAATGATATATCTTCCTTCTCTGTAATCATGTAACTATTCTATGTTAAGGTATTAATGCGCATGGGTTATACACATCACACATCTGGGGGTGCAGCGGTATGCTGGCAGCTATGGGTTAGTCATCCAGCTCCATCCATCCATCCATCAGGGTGGGTGCCCAAATGGTCCTGGGGAGGAATTAGCTCAGCCACAGGAGCCAGAAAGGTGCTTAATAGTGTAGACCAGTCACAGGGGTGGATGACCTTTCACCAGTTCATGCACTACTGTCCGTCACGGATAAACCACACGTGCCATTCATAGGCACTCTCTGAGTTGGTACTCTCACACCAAGGACATTCCATTATTCAGGAATGATTAGATGAACTTTTTATTAACACCATTTACCATTTTACATCATCATTAATGGGCAGCACAGTGGCTTAATGGTTAGCACATCTGCCTTGCAGTAAATGGGTCATGGGTTTGATTCCTTACCATGGCACCTCCTGCATGGAGTTTGCATGTTCTCCCTGTGCTTGCATGGGTTTCCTCTGAGTACTCCAGTTTCCTCCCACACTCCAAAGACATGCTGGTAGGTGTATTGATTCCTCTCCAAATTGGCCCTAGTATAATGGGAGTTAGGGACCTTAGATTGTACACCCCTTGAGGGTTAGGGACAGATGTGAATGTACAATGTATGTGTAAGCACTGCGTACATTGACAGCACTGTATGTTCTGTCTTGGCATCGGTTGTACTTGTGGCGAGATTCGTGTAGACCCGGGTCTGTAAGAATGTGTGCAGCAAGTTGAATGATCGCCTTTACAGATAGTTTACTCAATGAATACAACTTCAGAGGTGTTTTCCAATGCTTCTTTATGCTTCCAGGTAGCAAAGGTATGAACATAAAGGTGTTTTCATAGGTCCATTTCCAGTGATGTCACACAGCTTCCTCACTCTACAGTGTCTTCATAACCACTAAACAAAAGGGGAGTTACAACAGGAAATGGAGGGTGGAAGCAACCAACTAGTCAGAAACAGCAGGGGTGTGTGGATGATACCAAATAGCATTATAACATAACATGTAATAACAACTGCTAAACAGTAAAGCTGCGTGGCAGCACACTGTAAGAGTACCTAAAATAAATAAATGATTGCACTTTTTGGATTTTCCATGCGTTGATTGATAACATGCATTTATAGCGCTGCACTATTACTGTAACATATTTCTATTCTGGGACTGTTGCCAATACCCTGAGTGCTAGCTGCTACCTTCATATCTATACCTGGATTTATATTGATCTTGTGTAATACCATTTTAGTAGTCTATATAATTTGACCAGCGCTCGCTTTTTCATTATTTGTAAACAATGTAACTATTCTACATTGCAGCTCAAACTCTGTCTCCTCCAGTGGCTGAGTGGTTAGAACTCAGAACTTACAGCACTTGGATCATGGGTTCTAATCCCAGTCATGGCTGCATCTCAGTTTGCATGCTTTCTCTGCACGGCTGTGTTTCTGCCAACACTCCAAAAGACATGCTGTTAGATTAATTGGGCCTAGTATATGTAAAAAAATCGGTCGTTCAATCAGACGACGTTACCACCAACAGCAAAAAAATCATTTGATTTTCGTCCCGTCTGCGGCCGGCATTTTTACTTCTGTCCCTTGCAGAGAGCTCTGCTATTATATATTTTACATGAAAAGTATTGCGGTTTCCACATTGTATCCATTTCGGATAAAGATGTTTTTATTCGGATACAAATAGATACATTGTTGCAACCGCAAGACTTTTCATGTAAAATATAATAGAGGACTGGAATTCTTCTTCTTCCCAACCTTACCAATAGAAAAAATGTGTCAAAACCCCGATTAAACGGCCAACCAATTAAACCACTAACGGTGCAAAGATTGGCCGATTTTTTTTTTTTTTTCGGATGATTTTCGACCCATCTATGGCCTGCATTAGATTGTAAGCTCCTTGACATTTGTGAATACTCAAAATATGGAGATCAATTTCCAGGGTTCTGTCAGTGCCAGGAATATAGATCAATTAATTACGATTTTGGCTACTGACTAGAAAGTGGAAAGGGAGTGAATCTTACCTGCGTCCTGTTCTTCTGACAAGTTTGAAATTTTCAATTTTATTTCTGTTTATATTTCATTACAACTTTATCTTCTCTAAGGCTGCGTTGGCACTTGCTTTGTCAGCAGGCATCAGACAGGCATTTGGGAAGCTTTTTAATGCTTCTCAATCGCCTATGAAAATTCTGCACATGGCAGCACACAGTGTTGTTCACACTGAAGCGTTAGCATTGCGTCATGGCAAAACTGGCGCCTCATGTCGAGTCAGGAGGAGTTGAAGCCTCGCATTCAAGTCTATGGTGCCGCTCCTCAAATGCCTGGCAGACGTTTGTGGTGTGGTTGTGAGGCGTTTTCGGAGCGTCAATACCATTTAACTTTATTACAGGCATTTGTGGTGCAGTTTTAATGCTTGGTAAATGCTTATCACATGCCTCAAAACCGCACATAGGGCGTTTGGGGAGCATTTGTGGAGCATTAAAACTGCTTCCCAAACACCTGTCCAATGCCATGTGGGCGTATGGCAAGAGTTAGAAATAAAGTCACGTGTGAAAGAGCCCTTAAATCTCTCTCTTATACAACTTGTCCTCCCCCGTCTTCACCTGTTCCCTCCCCCGCCCTCCTGTCATCACCTATTCCCTCCCCCGCCCCCCCTGTCATCACCTGTTCCCCTCCCCCCCCCTGTAATCACCTGTTCCCCTCCCCCACCCCCCCCTGTCATCACCTGTTCCATCTGCAAATCTATGTATCCCCGCCCCACTCTTTGTATATAACTATTTCCTGATCAAGTGAATGTGTCTCATTTCCTATCACCTCCAGCTCAGATCTCACATCATTATAGGATTCCTGATTGTATCTCACCTCTAGTCTGATTGAATTCACAATTCCTGGTCAGTCCCGTTCCCTGACCTATAATAACCTTTAAGGCCAGTTCACACTACATGTGTT